AAGACTACCCTGGAACCAACACACGACTAAAACGTCAGACATTAAACAAACATTTCGGACTAGTCTACAGACTACTGTCACGCAAATATAACGTCTGAATAAAAACAAACTGACAACCTACAAGACAAGGAAGTTTGGACTAGAACTGTGGGACAAGGCTATTCACTATTCAAAGAATACAATCCTTTCAATCCAAAATCTTCACAATCGTAGTCAGTTCTTCTTAACGTCTCCAAAATAACCTCTCCCCTCACCCAAATCGAGTTGCCCAATCCTTATCCAATAGAAACCACCTGTATAATCCCACCAGACAGTTGAAGAGGAGATGGCTGGCCACATGACCTGCTGAACGAGGATTAATTAACAATAGTTAGAGTAGGTAGCCGGCACGGTTTGACATTGGCACGACGCTCACCACTGCAAGGGTCCCGAGTTCGAATCCAGCGGCCTTGCAAAAAATTTCATTTTTTAGGGTAAAACCCTTAACGAACTTGATAGCTATACAACAAACCTATGATTGTTGGCGGAATTGGCTCGGTTCAAGTGTTTTACCCATTGCCCATTAAAATTATTATTAGTATTATTGTTTAAGGCGTATTTTGATTTTTTTGACTTTTTATATATCTATTTTAATTTAATACCATCCTATATTATTAATATTATTTTTCTTATCTTAATTAAGAGAGAAAAAATTGACTTTTAATCACTTTGAAAAATATGTACAACAAAGTCAAAAAAAACTTTTAAAGTTATTTAATTGCTTGAATTTTTACTCAGATCCTAGGGTTCGTTTTTTTATTGTTACTTCTTCTTTTATAGATGTAAGGTGGTTTTATTTATCAAATTTGTATTTTATGATTATTTGGAGGTCGTGAGATGCGGTCTGGTGTGACGTAGGTTTTAGAAAAATATTTTCTTTGTCGTGCAACGTTTCGATCTTTATTGAGATCATCTTCAGGGCTCAAAGTGGCAAAACAAACACTTTGAGCCCTGTAGATGATTTCAATAAAGATCGAAACGTTGCACGACAAAGAAAATATTTTTCTAAAACCTACGTCACACCAGACCGCATCTCACGACTTCCAAATAATCATCAAGTAACGGTCACTATACACCACACATTTGTATTTTATACAACTTATTTTATGCATGACAACATATGAGATGAGGTGTCACATATACATACCAGTAACATACGAACTGGCCGACTGAAAAAGCTGCCTGATGAGTTGGACCATCGTTAATTGAAGTCCTTTTGTAAATAAATTTTTTTATTAAAATAACTTGCATAAAATACAAGATAGATATATATTTTTAGACCTAATATCTTGAAAAAAAGCTTCAGGTGATCCTAAGTCCTTTAGTTCACTGTATGACTTAATAAAATTAACGAACACTCTGGATCAAGGTATGGTTTTGAAGAAGAAGAAAACAATTTTAGTTCTCTTGCCAAGGTTTCAAGATGTTTGGATGTTGGGACTGAATCGGTCTTCAAGAAAATTTGAGATCGCCTGTAAAAAAAAAAAAATTTAAATATGTCAGTCTGTAGACATATTTAAGGTTGTTTTGCCCTGATGATGACCTTGAAATAGGTCGAAAGCTTGGCATCCAGTGGGTTCCTAATTGAAAAAGTGGTCGATACTTCTTATAAGGAAAATTAATAAAATTAAGTCATTGATCTTCAGAATAAGAAAAAAATTAAGCACTGCTTTATTCCATGTTTACGTTCAAACAAAAGTATTATTTTCAGATTTGAACATTTTACAAAATGAACTAATTATTTGTATGTTTATTAGTTATGGTGTGTTTTATGTTCGAGAACGTTTGCTGCTCCTGGAATAAACGGAAATTCTGCACATCCATTTGTTTTACAAAACAGACTTTGTGATCTTGTTAAACAACTTTTTCCATTCCAGTCTAATTGCAAGCCTCCAATCAGAATTCCGGATCGAATCGTGTTTCATCAATGATTTATTTTCGATGTCAGTTATTTTGTGGTTAATTCTTATTTCCCAAATCCGTCTGTATAACTTTGCCAGTTAAATTTCATTTTTAATATTTGTCGAGGTGTTTATTTTGTTTTTCGATGTTTCACGTTGGGTATCAAATGGTTTCGAGCACGTAAAAATATCTCTTGTTTGTTGAATTTATTTTGATAAAATCAAGTGGGTGAGGACAAACTGGTTGAATATCTCTATAATTAACCAATTTATAAATTTCCCTTTTAACCTTTTGTTTTGAAATGGGAGTTTAGTATGAACGATCTTCAAAATTTGTTGGCATTTTCTAATACAATTTGTCCAAATTGAGCTGCGTATTTCATGATTTTTTTAAAGATGGATTTTTGATTGAAAATATTGTCAGTAAGTAGTTGGGAAATGGAAGCAGCGTCTGCAAAATTGCGGCAGTTCATTAGCAAATTAAGCCGTTTCTTTCCCCTTTAAAATACGATCTGAAATCCTTTATTAATATAGCTTTTTGCCGTCAAATTTAACCTTTTTAATTTCAAATTGATCTTTTATACCTTCAAATCAATTTTTTTTTAAATTTTAAGTTCACCTTTTTTGCATTTAAATTAGCCCTTTTGAATTTCAAATTTTTAATTTCAAATTAACCTTCCTTTCATACTTCAAAAAAGCTAAGAGGTAGTATGATACGTAAGTACATAAAGTTATATTCCTACATATAAAAAGAGTAAATAAAAATATCCGGGTTCTTAGAGACAATTTGAAAATTAATTGCACTTCAATTTAAAAACAATATAAAATTAAATATCAAAAGAAACGTTTCTTCTTCTTTTCTTTATTTTTTACATAAAATAATTGGGCTCTATAAAAACCACGATTTCTCACATTTCCCAAATTAACGGAATTATCCTTTAATTATAATTAAAATAGTAATAATTATATGGCTTTAACAACCCAATTGTTTTATTATTTTCAAAAATCTCAAGTTTAAATAATCATTTGTTTTTATGGGCTTTTTTTCATCGTTTTTATTTGAAATGAACCATTTTTAATTTCAAATTAACCTTAACAGGTGGTACTTAATAGTAAGTAAAGCAAATTCCTGCAATTTGAAGTTTTTTTAAATATAAGATAATTAGGCTGTTGGAAGACCATATAAAAATTAATTAAAAGTAAAAGCAAATGGATTTTAATTTGAGATTTTTTAAATATAAAATAATTGGGCTCATAGAAGACCATATTAAAAAGGAATTATAATTAAACTTAAAAATTCATATAATTAAGCATAAACAGACAAATGATTCTTCTTTTAAATTTGAGGTTCCTTTTTTATTTATAAAATAATTGGGCTATTAAAAACCACAATTTCTCACATAGCCAAAATTAACGGAATTATCTTTTAATTATAATTATAAAATTGTGTTAAATTGGATATAGTTTTTAATTTTAATTTAATTAATTTTTGTACGGTTTTGACAACCCAATTATTTTATTATTTAAAAAAATCTCAAGTTAAAATAAGAATCATTTGTTTTTATAGCCTTTTTTCCGTCGTTTTTATTTGAAATGAACCATTTTTACTTTCATATGAACCCATAGGAGATGATATCGTAATTAATAGCAAGAAAGTAAATTCCTGAAAATTTGAACTTTTTTTAAACGTGAAAAAATTACGCTTTTGTAAAACCATGAGAAAATAAATTACAACTAATACTCGAAATAATTTCAAATTAAAAATAAGAGCAAATGAATCTTAATTTGAGATTTTTTAAAAATATAATATAATTGGGCCGTTAGAAGACCAAATTAAAATGAATTATAATTTAAATTTAAAATAACATAAAATTAAGGAAAAACAAACAAATGATCCTTCTTTTATTTTTTTTATTTTTTTAATATAAAGTAATTGGGCTATTAAAAACCACAATTTCTCACATTTCTCATATTAAAAGAAGTATTTCTCTTTTTTTGTAGTTTATTTTTAATTTTAATTTCGAACATTTTCATATAGTTTTTAATAATCAATTATTGTATGTTTAAAAAATATCAAATTAAAAGAAGTCATTTGTTTTTCTTCAAATCAACTTTAAATGAACCCTTTCTGTAAAGTATTAATAAGACTTAGGAGTTGGTATGAAGTATAAGCCTGTAAAAAAAATAAAATGCCGGAAAATTTGAATTTTAGATTTAACTTGAGATTTTTTATGAATATAAAATAAATGTGTTCATAGAAGACCGTGTAATAACGATGTACAATTAAAATTGTAAATAATATAAAATTACACATAAAACAAATTATTTCTCTTTTAATTTTGAGATTTTTTCGTTATTTAAAAAAATTTAATTTAAATGTAAAAAATGGTCAATGGTTAATTTTGACGCGAATAGGTTTTTTTAAATAATATAAAATCATTGTGCATAAAAAGCACAATTAATAGAAAAATCATGCTTGTATTTAATTTTGTCTACTTTTGAAATTTAATTGTAATTAGTGTTCATATGGTCTTCTAAGATCCCAATTATTTTATATTTAACAAAATATACATAAAAAATTGTCCTATACAGGTTTATAAAAAAAATTGTACGTTACATGTCATACCAGTTTTTGTTTTAATGAAAGGTTTAATTGAAAATTTAAAAGGGTAAACTTGACAGAAAAGAGGTATAACCTGAGTCGAAGAAATCAAGGTAAATTATATTATACTTTATTGTTTTATTTTTGAAGGAAAGGAACGAGTTTTTTAAATTTGAGTCGTTAAATTAGTCGAGTTTGTCCCTTTAAAACCTGTCAAATTTTGGTACAATTTCATATTTCCTCTGGGGGCTTTTGTTTTGTAGTACTTTATTTTTTTAATCTAAAATTGAACTATGGACATTTGGAGGCACCCACTAATTTGTAAAATTGAGAAACGCTTATTTTGTGTTTATAAATATGTCTCGTTTTGCCTGGAGTGTTTGTTTAGTTGTAATCCATTTTGGAAAAGAAATTTTAATAGGCATGTTGATGCACAGTCATTGTATCCACATTGAATATTAAATTCTGTGCGTAGACAATGGTGTTTGTGTGTTGTCGAACGAAATTGGACGGATCGGGTTTTTGGTCGGAGACGTTTCTGGGCCCCGGGCCGAGGTTTGACTGTGTTTACCTCCACCTCAGTTTAAGTACAGAATCGAAAGGATAAAATTTAGTAAACAAGTGTACAGAGTGTTGGGTGGTTTGACTGAGCTTTGGTGGGGGTTGTGGCAGTAAGTAGGTCAGTGGGTCGGCTCCCCACTCCCCCCCAACTGGGTCACCATTCACTTTCACTTATTTCCAAGGGAGGAGGCTCACTCTGAGTTGTGCCAGCGCACGCTACACAAGCCCGTGTGCTGTCGACAGTTGAGTGCGTACCCGAGTGTCTAGTGCTATGTGTCTGTGACAGTGGAGCATAGAATATGTTATTAGATATGGAGCAGCATTCGTCCCTCGTATCCTTGAACATGTCCCATTTCAACCTGAGCCCGGGGACGGAGCAGAGTGGAGGCGGCGGGGGCGGTTCCAGCCCCGGGGGCAGCTGTCCCCCGCAGCTATACGGCTCGCCGCCGCTCTACTCGATCCAACCCTCGGCACCCCAGCACAGTCCCTCCCTTTCACACGGATACAACCTAGAAGCGTGCTTCTTCTCGCCCACAGGTACCGGCGTCGGGATGGAACTGCCTGCTGGCGGCGCCTCTTCCTTCCAGCAGCAGCCGCAGATGTTGCAGCAAGCCGTGTCCGACATGCCGGACACCAAGGAAGGGATCGAGGAGCTCTGTCCCGTGTGCGGCGACAAGGTTTCAGGCTACCACTACGGACTCCTCACCTGTGAATCGTGCAAAGGATTCTTTAAAAGGACCGTCCAGAATAAGAAAGTGTACACCTGTGTTGCAGAAAGGAGTTGTCATATCGATAAAACACAAAGGAAGCGATGCCCTTTTTGTAGATTTCAGAAGTGCCTTGAAGTCGGCATGAAACTAGAAGGTGAGTGTTTTTTTATTCATCTAGTAACATAATTTCACTACATTTTTCAAAACGCCCAAGGCTAAAAAAAGAGCGGGAAAATAATTTTTTTAAACCGAAACTCATTTCACACTTCACCTATACCACCAGCTATCAAACTAAGAACAATCACAATCGGATTTCTTGAATTAATTTGAACCAGTGTAAACATAAGAAAATAAAAAGCCCCCCAACAATTTTTTCCCTCCATAATATCGAAAATATCGCCTCCATCCTGGCCTGTGACGATACTCTAAACCATTTTGAATTTTTTTTTAAATTCAGTATCAGTATTTCTGCCTAGAATATCGCCTAGAAATTTAACCTGTTTGTTGTATTATAAGACGCAATATATTCTCGGAAGAATTATTGACTTGAAAAATCGTTTTTCAGGCTCGGTTTAGTAGGGTTTCACTCTTAACCTAGGTCAATCAATAAGTCAATTGATCATGCTGATGCTGATAAACATTAGGAAAAAATCCATGATCTTAAGTCGGTTCATTTTATTTATTTTTTTCAAAAAAAAAAAAAAAAAAAAAGATTTTTGTTTATATTGATGCAGTTTGTTAAATTCTTCTAACAAAATATTTTATTACTGCGCTATTAGTGTTAGTTTGGATATTTGCTAATAAAATAAATATCCAGGTGTCTAATAATCTATAATGAATCCTCTTTTCCAACAACAAAAACAATTTTAAGCAATAAATATTGTAAAAATTATAAATTAATTTTTTTTTTGGGGGGAGTCTTAAACTTTTATGATCATTAGTCAGGCATGATTTTGTTTTGCCTATATTAATTGCATTGCTAATGTATTATTCTAGGCTGAGAATAGATATAAAAACCATAGAGTGGATAGGTTTTTTTAGTTTACATATTTTTCAAAAACTTTGGATAAAAGTAAAATTGAAAAAATGTCCCTAGTTTCGGACCAGGCATCTAGATGGAATAGCTTAAGGTGACAAAATTCTGCTAGGGCCAAAACAGCTTTCCCTTTTCTTCGAGTATACACATGTACTAACGTTTTCACTTTTAAAAGCTATGTTTTGATGATAGGAAATTCGGATGGATTTTATTCGTTGTAAATGGGGGTGGGGACTTTTTTGAGGGATAAATTGGCTTAGTTGTTTCGCCACTTTGTTTTTGTCCTATAATTCTATTTTTATTGTAGTCCTGTGTGGATAATATTTGTGAGTGGGATTTGATGGTACTCGAATACTTGTTAATTTTTGTCTTAAGTATAGTCATATTCCTACATTTTTTAAAAATTTCGTACTGAATTTGAAACAGGACGCTTTTTTTTAAATTTTTTCCGAAGCTAAAATTAATTAAAAGAACCATGCGCGTGCCAATATTTTAGGGAACTCGTTTTTGTGTAGCTGCGCGCGCCACTCTTTGTTTTAAAGACCAAGGTTGCTCCTCGATTTCCTGGATTGTCACTGGTCGAACACAAAAATAAAATTTTATCTTAGAAGGCAGACCGTGACTTCCGTAAACGCTTTGATCTAAGCCGTTATCCGAATCAAAATTGAAATTTTTAAGCCAGGGATCCAAAGGATTGGGCCGGACATTGAGGCCAAAACCGACAAAAAAAATGCTTTACCGATCAAGCACAAGTTCTGGAAAAAAAGAATGTTTTTTTAAACTCATAACAGTTACACCAATTTCAATTCTAGTCAACCCTAGACCCATATCAGTATATTTTAAAATTTCGTATTTTTCAAGAGCATTTTATTTATGTCAGAGACCAAATTTCTAAGTAACAAATTTTCGAAAATCTCAATAAAAAAATGTGCTTTCATATATACGTAATACATAATTTTTTTCTACCAATTTATAAAAGGCTCTCAGTTTATGAACTCATCAAATGAAAATTTTACGACCATCTCGTTGAAAAAAAAGACAAAATAAAGAAAATAATATTCCAGCGAATAGGTCCTGCTTAACGAACATTTTATAAGTATGAAATAAGTACAGGACTTACTGGCGCCTAAATTCCTTGGTACAGGTTGATCCATGATCCTAGCAATCATAATTTATTATTATAAATCATTATTGGACTTAAACCCCAAGGGTTGACACTCCGCGACGTGCTGACCTTAAGGTCTATACCACAGAGGTGTTCAGATACCCCTTTATGAAACTGGATCGTAGGTATCTCTCTTGTGGAGGAGATCGAAGTTCCCCAAACAGCAGGGCTTTCTTTCTACATCTAGGTTATTTCAGCCAAAACGCATGCAAAATATAATCTAGCCTAAAACTAACATCTATAATAGCGAAAATAAATACATTCACAGCTATTTACAATGATCTCGTGCAGGTTAGAAGGTGGAGTACCTCCATTGCTCCATCGACCCACACACATTAGTAATAATCTAATCTAAATTAGGGTCGATAAATAATTTCATAAATATTCCTCGATCAACCCTAAAAAAACACATGCAGGCATTGCTCGAGGGGCGATGATGACTAGATTTTACCTTCAGTTCTTTACCAGACACACTAATAAATACACGCACAAAATAAATCTATGTACAATAACAAAACCCTTGGCATCCAAAAAGCGGAAAAGGGCATCCAGAAACTCGCTACTGTGCCCGAAAACCACTTAAATCCGGCGGCAGGCCTACAAGCTCTCTGTAAAGAGCCGAGGCATTATAAGCTTCTATTATGTGGGACACATCGAGCAACCTTTCTCTTATTATTATTTGTTAATTATTATTATCGTAGGCTTAACAAATTTAGAAAAAAATTGTTTTTAATGGTTTTTTTTTCTTACACGTGTTTTCTACGAGTTTTGATACTTGCATCAAAATCTGTTTTTTTTAACGTGAATAGATTGTTCCCAAAAGAAAGTGGTTTTAAATTAAATAATAAAAAAAATTTAAAAACTTACATTTATCGGTTTTGTATACATATATATATATATATTTTTTTTTTTTTTTTTTTTAAATATAAACTATTTTGTTTAGGGATCTGAGAGGTGACGAAAGTTAATTGGTACTGGGTTCGAATCCTATCCATGGCATAAATTTTTTGTTTAATATATAATAAAAAGAATAGAAAATAATCAAAAATCATAATTTGGAATGGTTTAGTTGATCATTTCCTATTATCCCGGTGTGCCTTTTATCGCGTTTTCCCTTTCGCATGTTTAATCCATTTCGCCATATGTTGGGCTAAAAATGGTGAAATGCCGAAACTAGTCTGTCATACGAAACCGGCCGAGAGTAGGCAGACCAGGATGACCAGAGGCGATAAAATTATTCCATGCTGCGTGCTTTGCCTTTTCGCTTTAGCCTGTTTTGCTTATAACCCCGAATTGTACGTTTTATTCGATGTAAAGATGCAAGTTAATTTTCGACCATTGTTACACAAGAGCGCAACACGGCGACCTGTCATCCCCCATCCCGCGTCTACGACGTCCCATTCATCTGTTGTGGATGTTGTTGTGAAATTGGGCGAAACTTGACGTGGATGATCTCCTCAAAATATCTTTCCGTCGTTTCCGACCGTTGGGAAACTTTGTTTTGCAATTTATCTCGGAACCTGGCGCAACCACTGTCGAAAGGTTGGCCTTTGAAGGTTTAACTCATTCCACCAAAGCGCATGGAAGGAAAGAGTGGACGTTTTCAAGAGGAATAAACCTGGATTTAAAAGCTATTTGGTCAATTTTTTTTCTTTTCAAGCCCGTTTCAATCGTTTATACGAGCATTTCGCTTCATAATAAACTACAACGTCAAACGTAGCATAGATCAATTTTTTTCTCTTTAAAGCTGACTTGTATTTTGATTATTTCAAAATTGACATAGCAAGACTTGAGAAATAAGCTTCTGATCAAAGGTAGATTTAATAATAATCCATTATATTTCGTGGTCCGATTGACAAATAACTTATTTCAATTAATTAATCTTTATGCAAGGTATTGGTTGAAACAAAAAATTTAGTGTTACGAGCGAGATATTTAATAATAATAGATCTTTATTTGCAAGAATGCACATTGCATATAAATTTGCAATAAAAAATATTTTGGTACATCACTGCCTCTGTCAAAAAGCAATGCTTGTACTAAACAGCAGTTTTTGGAGATCCTAAGAGAAACAAATACAGAATAAACGTGTAGTATGAAAAACCAACCAAATTAAATCTTGGCTTTAAAATATCTTAACTACAATTTTAAATTTTTTAAATTATAAATTGTTTGCCTTCTTTGTAGTTTTTGAAATTTTGAATAATGATCCTCTCTTTATAAAAAGAAAAAAAATATGGCCATATTTAATGAAAAATTATAATATTGCTGCGTAGTCTTTACATTTGTAAAAATGGGAGTAGGCAAATGAATTTTTTTTGTGGTATAGTCACTGATGTACCTAGTTACAAGATTATTTTTGTATATACAAACATGAACATTTAAGAAAGACTTGGTATAGATTCATTACTTTAAATTCACTGTATAATTTTATCGTATTATATCTATATAGTTTATGTAAAATAATTTTAAGAGTTTATAGTTACATCCAGAGTCTTAGTGTATCATTTTAGGAAACAATGCCATAGGCTATTATGTATTGTGCAAGGAAAAAATTTATTGCCCTTAAGAGTTCAATTTTTATGAAGTTGCGTAGAATTTTAAATTTATAAAAGAGCTTTCTCAGACGGGAAACCAAAAAATCAATATGTAAATTAAATCTCAAATTTGCGTCCAATATCACAAGATATCTAACTTTATAAGCAAAAGGTATGAGCAAGCAAAAACATGCATTATCATCACAAGTATGAAAAGCAAATTTTAAATTATTAGTATTTATTTTCTTTTTTAATGAAAATTGTAATAGATTACATCCATTATTTAGTGGTCTGATTGATCAGAATACTTCTTTCAATTAATTATTCTTTGAATGAAAGGTCTTGGTTGAAATGAAAAAGCTAGTGTCACGAGCGGGATTCGAACCCACGACCTTCGGCTCCATACGCCGCTCCTC